TTTGGGCCAATTATCTCCTGAAATTGTCAGCCAGATCTTTATACCAGTCCAAGTAATTTCTATTGCATTTCTGTAATAAAAGACTCGTACCACTCTGGGGAAAACATAGAAAACTGTGTGGGTGCCTTGGCAGGCAGGGGTTTAAAAATATCTGTGGTTTGTGTGGCTTTATTGGATAAAATGTAGGATTTTCCACCCTGTGGTTTAAATTTCCATGTGCTGGAGTTTGTAGAATTTGTTTTTCTGAAATGTTACTTATGTCTAAAATGAAGCCCTTACTTATGTTTAGCCGGGGCTGGGAGGAATTGACTCAGAGAAGTGATAATGGATGCTCTGGAATTGTGGAGGGGCCCCAGAATAGATGGTTCAGTAGTAAGATACTTTTTTTTTTTTTTTTTTTTTTTTTTTAAAATGCAGCCAGTTCACCTTTCTCCTAGGCAGTTGGTGATGAAGGGTGATACTTTTCAAATGCTGTTATCGTCATGTGCCTGGTTGGTGACATGTGAGGAGAGGAGTGATACGTGGGTGGGAGGTTTGTTAAATACCATCACTACGTACTGGATACCCCTTTCGAAGCTCCTGGCTAAAGTCTAAGGGCGGTTTGAGCTGCTGCTTTGTTCAGTCCGCTGGGAGTGGTTTGATGCATGTGACTGAGGAGTCCCACGCAGTGTATTGCATCTGTTTAATGCTGTACGTTGGCTATGAAAAACAATCCCTAATTTTTAGGAATATCCAGATGTCTCATGAGTACTGAATACAAGTATCCCATACATCCCTACTTACTCCAAAAGGAGGGGAAGAATTAATGTTTAATGGCTAAAATGAAATATCAAACTGGTGAACTATGATAAAATAACAAGACATATTCTTTTGGAAGTTACAGTACCGTATGTTTAGACCTAGCATGTTTTTGTTGTCATTTGAGTACCAATGCTCTCATCTTAAACCACTTTTTAAGGTTGAAGAACCTTAGATCTGCATCTGTGTGGATGTCTCCTCACTACTACCAGCGAGCGCTGCAGATGGTGCGTTTTTTGCAATGGATCTTGTTCCCAGTGGCTCTCTTGAAGGCATAGGTCATGGACAGCTTGGGAAATGTGACCAACACATCAGAAATGATGCTATTTGGTTATAATAAAAATAACCATATAACTGAAAAGGTCTTTTAAAAATAAATTAAGTGAATGAATCAATAGTCAATTGCACTTACAAATTTCTTGCTATATTCCCTAATCTGGTTTCCCTGTTTAAATAAATGCATAAATAATTCTGTCTCCCTCTGGTTTAGTAAATTAAGAGTGGTTCATGGAAGGCCTGGACAGATGTCTGAGACAGCACAAGGGGAAGGCCAGATGTTTAGGAGTGGGAGAAGATGAAGGGAGGAGATGGACTTCTGCTTCACAAGTGACTGACTTTGTACTTGGATAAGAGCTCCATCCCCTCTGAAGAGGAAAGAACATGCCCTTGAAAGAAGCTTTTTGTTTAAACTTCTTTTGAAGTAGTTATTTAGATTATAAGAATGTATTTTTAACGGAAGAAGAAATCTGGAAGAGATTTTGAAAACATCAATGAAGAAAAAAAGTATAGTTTTGCATTGTGCAGATTTGTCAAAATGATCTCAAGGATTGCAGTTGTGTTTACTTTCAAGGCATCTTCTTTTAAGCTAATCACTAGTTGACTTACTTTTCAAGACACTGCTAAGAAGGGCATGTTGGAGTTCAGTTCAATATTTGCTGTCATGGGTGAGGTATTTGGCTTGGGAATCATTTTAATTCTCTAATAGTTGCCAGGGTAATATATGATTGTCATCATTTGAAACAGATGCTGCTTCTGTAGAGCGATAAAGAACAATAAAACGTCTTCCCAGTGTGCTACTGTGTTCTTTGATCAACCAAAATATTCTTGACTTCCTAGTGATCTTGCTATCCAGCTTCTTTCAGTCGCTGTGTCTCAGGTGCCCTCTCAGCAATGCAAAGCAGCTGCTGCTGGTTTGAAACCTCTTTTCTCCCATTGTACCCACATAGCCTGTTGCTTTGCCTATTTTTGAATTGGCTAAATGGCTTAACCTTCTTGGTTTCCTACTCATGCCCCATTTATACAGCTACGACCTCTGACAGGCTGTTGAGATGAAGTTGAGTTTGAGGGTCCTTCTGCCTCTCCAAGCCATGTCTAGGGGTTCGGCCTCCATAGCGCAGATCACGGAGGTGAACATTGGCCAACTCCTCTACCATCTCATTTGATATGTTGAGGTAAAAGCATTGCAGCTCACCCTTACAGGGTAGAAAGATTTGCTCTCCTGTTCCCCTTTGAAGTTAGTGACATACCTGTGGCTTTGGGAGCTGTAGGAGCCATCTAATGTGTCCCTTTTTTGGGGGGTTCAG